TGCCTAATATTCATAAATATGGTGAGTTAATACTGAACTAATAGCCTCTTGGAGAAATAAAGCTTTGAATATGTCAGAGTCACATAGGTGGAGCTTCATTTAACATACCGTTTCATGTTGAGCGCATGAAGCTCAGAGGCACTGGCTTGTGTCAGTATTCCAAGTATTATAATGCTGAATATTTTGTAAGTTTGATCTTTAAAAAAATGTTTCCTGTTCTGGGTTCCTTGGTGTTCTTCATCCATAAATTTTTGCAGTTAAAAAAAAAAAAAAAAAAAACCCCAAAAAACCCCCCGTCACTGTCAGTGAATGTTATCATAGTTTGTATCATTTGTAAAAGCTCTGAATTTACTGCTGTGTAGTGGAACTGTAGCACTGAACATGGTATTAATTTTAAAAAGTGTCCAGACCATGCTTTATTATACAAACGTGTTATTTAATTATCCAAAGAAAAGGGGAAACTTTCTGGAGTTTACATCAAAGAGTGAACCTTGTAACACATTGAACGTTTTTAAAAAAAAATGTTGACTTATAAAATGAATGTTGAGTATAATGATGTGTCACGGGCCTGGATGCCAAAATTGCTCATAAAAGAAGTCAGTGAAACCAGTTTTGTCACATGTGGTCACACTGCTTCCATTAGAATTTATTTGCGGTGGTGGGGAGCAGTGAGCAATGGAGACCCTGAATATAGGAATGCTTAAAACTCTGGTGTCATAAAATTAACTGGTGGTAGTATTAGTCATGTAGCTGTGATGATCCATGGATTTTGTGAGGCTTGGATTTTTTTAGGGTGATTTTTTTTTTTCTTTTTTCTTTTACTGGACCAGCTCTATAGTTGGGATAGAGTTAAGCAAGCCTCTGAAGGCAAGACATTCTTCCTCCAGTCTGATCAGAACCGGCCAGGCACTACATAGTAAAAAGCAGTAATGGGAGGGGTTGAGAGAGATTCTCAGGGGTGGCAGACGCACAATTAGCAGGAAAAAAGAAGCTGATTCCTGGAAGGTGAAGGCCTATCAAAAGAGAAGAGGAGGGTCGTGATCACCTTTCATGTTTGGGGGGCATTTGGGAATTGGATTGGCTATAACATGCCCTAAAACCAATATTAGTGTTAACTTTTCCTTTCTTAGTGTCCAGCCAGTTTAAAAATATTTGTTCCAAAGTTCATCTTTTAAATTGTCTTCCCACATGTTGCAGTTATGCAGCATTTTTTTTCTTTCATTTTATATTGAATTAAAATTAAAGAAATTGGAGGGTATGTATGTATATATGTGTATATGTCATTATTAACTAGATGTTAATTACTAGCATTGGAATGTTAAAACAAAGGCAGAATTAATTTGTTCTAGATGTCTGCACATTCACTGGGCAGGAAAACTAAGAATAAGGACAAACTTATGCATACACAAGTGTCTTAAATCAGCTGGAAGGGATGACCTGAGCTAGAAGTTAGAACTGTGTGTGTGGGAGTTTGCAGCTAAGTTTGTCTTCTGTAAACTAGATTGGAAAGATGAGTCAAAAATTAATGCGTATTTTTCTCATTGTCAGGAACAAGAGCAAAAAGCTGAAGAGGAAAGGATTAGAATGGAAAACATTCTCAGTGGTAACCCTTTACTGAATCTTACCGGCCCAGCACAGCCCCTGGCAAACTTCAAAGTGAAGAGGAGGTACAGTGCTGTATTCTGTAATATCCTTTTGTCCCTTCTTGACATCATATCATTCTATAGAGGAGGAAAAATTGCATTGCTTCCATTAGTTTTAGTTCTCTACTCAAACCATATTTACAGTTAGTCTGAAATGAAGTTAAGATACTGTAATATGAAGATGATTGTTCAGAGGGAAGGTCTCCAAATCAGCTATCCTGTTTCTTTCTGAACAAAAGATGATTGTAGCAAGTTTGTCATTGCCATTATAACACAATAGGGTGGTGAGAAGTGACAAATTCCTTAGTGAAAACCAAGGTTTATTTAGTGTTTGGCAGTTAACAAACCTACACCCTCCCCGCCCCGCCCCCCCGGCACTGTTTTTGTTGATTTATGGTAGGATTTGTTAAGAAATATTCCACCTAGTCTATCTAAGTAAAATGGGATATAGGCTTGATTCAAATTCTTGTTGCATGCTGTAGGTTGGAAACCCTTTAGTCCCTTTGACATACCCTTTGGATTCCTCATTAACTCTTTCAGCATATAGTTTGTTAAAGGCCCCTGACATGTTAAATGTGTTACACAGTTAGCTGGCTAATTGCACAGTAAATTTTGATTGGCTGCACATGCAAAGTAACTATCACCATAACAATTAGGTTTGTACAAAGCTTTGGTCTGTGATTCGATTTGGCGGAGATTCGGCTCAATGCGGTGGTTGAATATCCAAATCTGAATCGAATCAGAGGACCCTTTAATCTCCCCAAATCTATTTGGAACCCATCAAATTGATTTGGTGAGATTCGGATAGTTTTGACCATTCGGACATAGAGACAGCTTTAAATGATTTTTTCTACATACCTCTAGGTAGCAGGGGCTACCTGTGGTGCTTTGGCAGATGCAGCGTCCCACAGCATTGCGGGGGCTCCCCAGCACACTCAGCAGCAGACCCGGAAGTGGACCGGAAGCACTTCCGGTCCACTTTCTGGTCCACCAGAGAGCATGCTGCCCCCTCCCCCCACGCCCTCCCGGCTCGGCAACTGGTGCCTCCTGGGTCTGTGGGGGGCACCTGGGATCCCCCTGTGGCCAATTGCCGGGCCAGGGGGTCCTGAGGGTCCCCCAGCGCACTCTGTGGCAGACACGGAAGTGGACCAGAAGTACTTCCGGTCCTTCTAGGTTCACTGCTGAACACACTGGAGAGCCCCCCATGCTGCTGTGGGATGCTGCATCTGCCACAGCAGCACAGCGATCACAGCCATGCTGCTACCTCAAGGCACGTAGAAAAAACTTTTAAAGCTGTGTCTGCGCCCAAATCACTGATTCATCAAATCAGCATTGAATCATCAGATTTGGATTCTGCCGAATTGAATCAGGGACAGTGATCCGAATCAACAAATCAATCGAATAGGGCCCGTTTCACACAGCCCTAATACCAATGGCCATCTAGCTATAAAAAAAAAAAAAAAAAAATGCCACAGCAGCACAGCGATCACAGCCATGCTGCTACCTCAAGGCACGTAGAAAAAACTTTTAAAGCTGTGTCTGCGCCCAAATCACTGATTCATCAAATCAGCATTGAATCATCAGATTTGGATTCTGCCGAATTGAATCAGGGACAGTGATCCGAATCAACAAATCAATCGAATAGGGCCCGTTTCACACAGCCCTAATACCAATGGCCATCTAGCTATAAAAAAAAAAACCGAAGTTAGTGTTAAAAAGGTATAATAACTCTATGGCTTGAGGTAAAGTGGGGCTCCCTTGTCCTTGGTGCTTCTGGGTAAGGAGAGAGAACTCAGGGCTGAGCTTTGCAGTGAGGCAAGAGTTTCTCCATGCCTGGCTATGTGTTTTGTGGGTTATTTCCCACCCCCTGCCTAAAGCTGGCAAAGAGGATGTTTAGGGCCATCTCTTGTTTCGTCCAAGTGGGTGGTAAGCAAGCAGGGAATCCCTCTCCTCCTTCCCCCAAAGGTGCACATTTAAAATGATCAAGGTCTTTGTTCAAAGCTTGGGGTGCTTTTCCACATAAGTTTACACTGACTGGACAAGGGAGCATCCTGGGATACTGGAGACCCATCAGATAGTTGTTAGGCAGTGTGTTCCCTCAGTCTAGGCTTTGCTCTCCCCTGAGATGGGGAGAAAACCCCAGGCTGAGCAGCAGTGTCCCTGCTGGCCTGCTCCACAGCGGTGGGGGGAGGAGGGCCAGGAGTAGGTGATGTCCGTGCTTGGTGCTGCCAGAGATTGGGGGGAACTCTGGACTGAGCTCTGGCTAGGCAAATGTTTCCCCACCCCCTTGGCACTCTGGGGGTAATTTCTGTCTGCCTGCCCCCTAGATACACACCTAACTCTTTGCTCAGTGCCAGGGAGCAGCTTCTTTGGTCTTGTTCTTGCTTGGCAGGGGGAGAGGGGAATTATCAGTGTGCCTTAGGTCAGTGTGGGGCAGGGATTTCTCCACCCCCATTGCCTGGCTGTGACCCTGGGGGATGACTCTTTAGTAGAGGCATCTAACTCCTTCACTGGTGCTGCTGACCAGAGTAACCAGCTGGGGGAGGTCTGCAGCAGTGCAAACTGTCATGCCACTTTTTCCTCCTCATATAATCATGCACAGGGCACAGTGTTTTCATCATGTGAGAAGTCATGCCGCAATTGACGTAACTTCTGTCAGGGGCCAAAGAAACACAAAGTGAAGTTGTTTTACTATTTAATAAATACTAAATTTAGTGGGCGTGTTCACACGTGGCTATTAATGCTCAGAAATAGGCTCCGGAGAAATAAACATTTTTTTTCTGGAAATGTGCAGTCATCCAGAGCTTATTGCTGTCAGGCACACGTCTACACACGTGCCCAGGATCACGGCACTTTGATCCGGGGCGGAGCGGCCCCAGCTGGCAGGGTACCCCAGGGGTCAGCCTGCCAGCCCCAGGGCTGCTCCCCCTGGCTTAGTGTGCTGCAGAGTGGCTGACTGGGGCATGACGGTGCTTCAGTGCAGAGCTAGCAGGCAGGCAGCCCCCACACTGAAGCACCCTTTTGCCCCAGCAACCTCCTCCAGCATCTTCACATGCAATGCTGCAGTTTTTTATTCTGCAGTAGGATAATACTTAGTATTTACAAGTACTATCCTGTTGCAGAGTAAATTACGTTTACTCCAGCATAATAGGGGCATATGTGTAGACACTGAGACATTTACTGTGCACCTAAATAGTTTACTGTGTAGTAAATATCTCATGTAAGTGTGTCCAGTATGTATTAAAAGCAGTTGGGTTTTTATCCCCTGGGAAGTTTACAGAGAATCATACCTCATTTCTATGTAGTAAATCTCATACTGTACATCTGTATATTTCCTTTTTTTTTCTTCAGGTGGGATGATGATGTTGTCTTCAAGAATTGCGCCAAGGGGATAGATGAAACAAAAAAGGACAAAAGATTTGTAAATGATACCCTGCGATCGGAATTTCACAAAAAGTTCATGGAAAAATACATCAAGTAGTACAGTTTTATGTGCTTTATTGCTCAAAGACTCAAAGGGTCACCATGGTTGGGTTTTTTTTGTTTTTTTTCCTCCCCCTTTCCCTCCAACTTCATGGCTGAAAACTGTCTCCTGTCAGAATGCTTTTTCCAGGGTCACTGACAGGTTTTTAATTGGCTCTCACCCTGTGACTGGAATGTTATCCCTTTCAATATTCTTTTTACTTTTAACTAAACCATACTGTGGTTCATGATTTCCCCCCACCCTGCAATTGATATGTGTTTTAATGGCCTTCATACAAATGTTAGAAGAGGGATTCTGGTTTGCAATAAATATTTTAATTGTCTAAATACTGTGTCTTGGGGAAATAACTTGTGCATAATGTTGTGGTTTGCAGTGTGTACATATTATGTTCATTTCCAGTTTCTTCCAGATGATTGAAATTTCTGCACAGTAGGAGGTGTGTATGTGTGTAACTGAGTTCTTGTCTATTCACCAAATTGCACTTCCTTCCTTCTTTTGGCTGACTACTTGAAAGCCATTTTAGATGGGAATCTTCCTTTCTTTGTTCTAAATGTTGTAAGTTTCTGTCGTTTAGCAGCCAAGGATGTGTTTGATGGGAGCAGTCCAGGCTGCTGACAAACCTGCCTTCTCAAATCATGAGCTCGCCGTCCAATTTTGTTACCTTGCCACAAGAACCATTCAGATGGTGTGTAGCACACTAGAGTTGTGTCTTTTGCCTAGGAATTGCATTCTTTGTCCTCTTTAAACCACCGTAGAGCCTGATCCTCCAATCAGAACTTTGTTATGGTTGCGAGGTTTAATCCTTGGGAAGTCAGTTGCAGGATAGGTGTCTCCCTTCTGGCTTTAGGTGCAGCTTATGGGCCTTATTTTTAATGAAGGCAGCTCATCTAAGGGACCAAATTAACATTAATATATTTTTTAAAAGCATGGCCTGTTCCCACAAGTGTCCTGATTTTTTGGAATCAGAACTCGTGGCAGAGGTGCTATCTAGTTGGTCTAATAAAAGAGATTTGCAAAAAAAAATTCTTTACTTGCAAGCTTTCGGGCGCGCACACCCTTCCTCGGGCCTAGGAGAAAGTAAAGATTGTAAAATTTATTCTAGGTGGAACTGAAAATTCATATTTCACAGGAGAGCTGAAGGTGTTATAAGGTTTCCTGGTTGGAATAGTTCATTTTGTGCAAATTAGGCTCAGATAAAAGTTAAAATGGTCTGTTTATCTTGATGTTATCTGGTATCAAGCAGGGTGTTGAATTATGTTTCTTTCAGGTTACGATCGTTCATATTTCACAGGACGATGGTACAAGAAGGAAGCAAATTCATCACTTTGGAACAACCTGAAAGCTGACACCCTGGCTTCTGCCTATTGTTCCAGCTCAATCTGCATGTTCCCAGAGCATCCATCACATCCTCCTCCTGTGAAGTGTGAAATATAACCAGAAGGAAACGTTAATTCAAGATCCTTTTACACAAAAGAACCTAAGTGATGCACTGAAGTGAGATACCATTCTTTTCTATGAGGACCCAAGTTCCATTCCTACTCTAGGTCTCAAGTGAAAGTGTTAAGTGACTTCCTACTCACATTTAGAATTAATTTTAAAGCCCCCTCAGTGCAGCATAGTTAGTCTGCTTGCGAGAGTTTAGCATGGAATAGTTGCTGTTGCAGGCTTCTATTTAAAGTGCCATAGGAGTTCTTGTTGCTTGGCCTATTTATACTATACTAGCATGGATCATTGTTAGTCCAATTTTCTTTTTTCCTATAGCATGAAGATTACTTGCGCATTTCTGATTTGGCATGTCAGTCCTTCAATTTCAAGGTTATTGTCTGTCTTCAGGTGCATTTTGTCAGTGTGTTCTTCCTGGTGTTTAAGTGGTATCCTGCATTTTGGGGCTATTTGTGTCCCACAGGCAGTTTCATTATTCTTTGCTGTATTTTTTTTTCCTTCCCATTTTATGGTAACATATTGAACCAATCAAAGCTAAATTCTAAACAGGTAATGTCAGTACATACTTAGTGAGGAATTTTATATGCATTTTTAAATGTCATGTTAACCTCTAAACTCACTTTACTTGGAATTAAGGAAAAAATTCTTCTTGAGTTGTACTATCAGTCTCTGGGTAATAATGTTAACTTTCTGGAGGCCAGAGGCCAGCCACAGTTCCTGATGAGCATGCATTTAAAAGCCAAAGGTTGCGTTAAGAGCAGCTGGCTGGCAAAACCTGGCAGCAGAGAAGCCAGCTGCTGCTTATGTCTGACCTAAGAAAATAATGTTGCCATAGCAGCAATAAAAATACTTCTAGGCAGTATCCCCAAAAAGCAAGGAAATGCACATTGAAAAAAAAATTAAGAGCTAATTTTTATAGCTAGTTCAGTGCCTTGGAAGTAATCTGAAATGCATATCCATCTCTTTCTGGGCCGTTGAAACACAATAGTCTTTTTCACATATAAAAGAAGAATCTCTTGGACTTAGTACTATAAAGCATCAAAGGACTCGTGTTCAGTTAAGTTCTAGATATGTGAGGTTATCCTATAGAAATATAAAATTAATCTCTGAAATGTGTTTAGAAATATGTAGATAAACGTGCTTAGTACCTGAATTTTTGTTTTTTGGGTTGTTTTTTTTCTTCCAACTGACCTTTACTAAGATTCTGAAGAAACAGCTATTGAAGATGAAAATCTGCCCGTGGATGTGCCTCTTAGGTCTGCAGTATAACTTGTAACATGGGCTTTATTGTCTTGTTTCTGGCTCAAGCCTTCTCTTGTAATTGTCTTGGGCTGTTGAATGTTGAGCTCTTTAATGCTGTAGGCTCATCAAGTGTGTGTTGTTCTTTCAGGGCAGCACTGCGTGCAATGGTACTCCTGTAATACAAATAACAAATCTCTTTTCTCATCTTTTTATTTTAAATTGACTAGATTTCAAGTTGATTGTATCCCCTATCCCTAAGTACTAAGAATATCTTTTAGTTGTTCAGTAATACACAAAGCAGGAATAGTAGCTTGATAGCTCCTGAGGCCCCAAATCAGCCTCAAAAGTCGTTGTGTTTTGCTACCAACAAATAAACTGAGCAGTTCAAAACAATGTATTATATGTTAGATGATATTTATATACCCTGCACCCCAACTGGGAGCCCAAGAGAGGATGCATTTTTTTTTTTTTTAACATTTTATGTTCATGGTATTCCTAGTGACATGGTAATATGAAATTCTTTTGGAAAATGGCAGAACAGATTTTGTCATCTGTCAGATATTTGTCATCTTGGGTATTAAACATGGACAACCAAGTAGTCTGTAGTACGTTGTCTCTGTCTGTGATAGCCCAGGAAAATCTTTGAGGCTCTGTCAAACTGCTGAATGCGCTGTTTGGGGTTTTGGTTTTGGTTTTTTGGTTGGTTGGTTGGGTTTGTTTTGTTGTTTTCGTTTTGGGTTGGGGGGAGTTAACAGAAAATCCTCTTGGTTGGTACCAGAGAGTAGTTCTGAGTACAGGGTCAAGCTGTCACTGGGATGTGGGATATTCTTTAAGCACAGCATTCAAAAGAAGTAACTGATTCAAGCTAGAAGATATGAGCTGAGTCTAAGCAAAGTGCTTCAGAAAATGGATTTGGGGCTACTACTATGACTGAAGTCACTTTTGTATGCTCTGAAAATTACATCATCAGTGGTCTCTGAGACTTCCCACTGTTCAGAGAGTGAATGGTGAGTTTACAGTGTAGAAAAAATGGGGGATAGATGCTAACAGAATAAACTCTAAACAAGTTAAAATCAGGGAAGTCCTCACTTCACCTATTGTCATTTTTCTTTATTTTAATGGTTGAGCTAGTGTCAGTCAAGAAAAAATATTTCTTCTTATATATAACTGAGGAATTTGGCAAAGAGCATTGAAGCTGTTATTCCTAAGGAAACAACAGAGTGCTTTGGATATGAAAGCTGGCTGAAGAAATGAGTGAAGAAAGTTCGTAACGTGTTTAAATGCCCAGTATTGCACAGAATATGTTTAGAAAAAGAGAAGAGCATATGTTTACATAAGAGAAAGGGGGGTTTTTTTCTTCATGGCTTCTGACCAGGAGCTCAGTAGGAGAAACCAAATATCACTGATCTTTATCAAATTATATTTCTTTTATATAAAGTGAGGGAGATGGAGGGGAGAGGAAAGAACCTCTTCCAGGAATTCTAGTGTGTGTAATATAGCTATTTCCAGAAAGAAGACTTATCTCAATCTAAACCAGCTAAATCACCCACAAGAAAAAATTCCCACCAAAGTAAAGAAATATTTCTCAAAGTAGAAAAAAAGTCAATGCTGCATTAAATATGAGCGTAAGTGAAATAGAGCACTGCAGTAGCTCTAGTGGGTGCCAAATGAAACTGTTGGCTTCAGCCAGGGTGTTATGAGATTATGTGCACTGTTTGTATTACAATGGAGTATCTACAGGTTGCAACCAACATTGGAGGGCTATTGTACTGAATCATATACAAATACAGGGTAAAAGTCAGGCCCTGCCCTGAGGTCTCTAATTCTGAGGGGCAACAACATTGCCATCTAATTACTTGACCTGTACTACCCAGAGTAATTGTCCTAAAAATGTCCATCATATGATCAGAAGGGCTAAGGCCTAGGATAAAACTGACCACGCATAGGTTTACTTATAACTTAATTTGCTAAGTGGACCCGAGATGAAATTCTTAGATCTACGTTCCAGTTCCCCAAACTAAGCCATCTTGTTCATCTTGTTAAGTCTATAAAGGTTGAGAACTGCTGCTCTAGGTAAAATTTGTGCGTGATCAGGGCAAACAGCACAAGAACTGTATCAAGTGTTAAATAGTCTCTTTTGTATATTCTGAGCTCAAAGCTCTAGAGTACTTCAAAAATATTTTTCCTTTTTTCTATTGGGAGAGGCATAATATGGAGTGCCATTCAGTTCACAGAAGTAGAGATCTTGTGGGATGCACACCTAGTGTATTGAGTACCCCACAAAAGGTAGTGGTCCTAGCAGAAAAGTGGTGCTGGTGCCTCCCCCACTTTTAAATCATTTACTCAGTGGTTCGAGTACTCATCCAGGATGCACGCACCTTTTTATTTGATTGCTTCCACTGCCTGTGGGGATTTAAACCTACATTCCTCTTTCTCTAGGTTAATGCTAGAGAAGGGTGAGGGTGGATTTGATAGCAGCCTTCAACTACCCGAAGGATGGTGCTCCAAAGACGATGGAGCCGGACTGTTCTCAGTGGTGGCAGGTGACAGAACAAGGAGCAATAGGCTCAAGTTGCAGCAAGGAAAGTTTGGGTTAGATATCAGGAAAAACTTTTTCACTAGGAGGGTGGTAAAGCACTGG